ATATGTGTTTTTTAAACCAGTCATATGGTTACGATTTAACCTGAAGTTCTGGTTCACAAAATTATAATTCCTATTGCCTCATATTTAGTCAAAATACAAAACTGAAAACTAAATTTAACCGAATAAATTTTTTTCACACCATGCTCTAGGGTACTATAATGAAATTACTAAATTTTACCACACTTATCAAATTTTAGAGCATATTACGAAACATTATTTTATTGTTTATTTTACCAAATTAATCACCAAATCCTATCACTAAAAATTACTGTGCTTTTTGGTGCTCTCATGGAGCCTGATACATAGTAAGTTTTACCATAATCTATAAGTTTTGACCGTACTTTGTGATATTTGAAATTCTGGCTCTCATTTAAGTCTAATTTCTGAAAAATTTAATAACTTTCTATGTATTATTCTGATTCTATTTGAATCTGAATTTTGCTAAATTGCAGCAGCTTGATCTAACAACTATCTTAGATTTTATCAGAACTCTCTACCCAACCCACGTATGTGGAATAAATCAGTGGGAGCAAAACACTATCACCTTGCTCCTCTTCTATCTTTGGAAGCTCCTCCTATCAGCCGCCTATCTTGTTATCAAAGACTTATTCATGCAGCATAAAATGTCACAAGGCGTTGCGCGACTTTTGCTTCAGTTTTACTGCCGTAGTCGTAGATCAGCTATACAAATAGAAGCAATGATTGGACTCAGCTGTTGTAGAAATCAACAGATTGTTAACCTGCAAAAATATACCAACTTTCAAATGCGTTCATTAGACAAAAATTCAAAGAGGATGTTTTTTTTTCCTTTCTTTATCGGAAGTAATTACGTACATCTGGTATATTTTAATTTATTGTTTTAACTTTTGGAGCATGATGAATCAAACCATCGTTTGAATTTGCTGCAACCATAATAAGGTACTAAAATGAACCATATTATCATACTTTTTAAATTTGCGACCATAGCTTAACTCCAACGAAAACATGGCTCAATAACACTTTATAAGCTTGCACAAAATCTGAAACGCATTATAATGCAAATGTTATGGTTGAACTTTGAATCTGTGTTTTTGAAACTGTATATATGGTGAAAAATTCCAATAAGAACGAGGGCTGATAAGCGATAACTCCTAGTTATCAAATCATCAACGTCTAAGAAAAAAAAATCTAAAATTACAGGACATTTACAAAAAAAAATTAAACATAAATTAGAATTGATTCATATATTCATAATTAATACTCCGTTAAGTCTCGCCTTTCTTAATTACTCATTTATAATTATTAGTAATTAAGCCTTAAGCTTAAGATATTTCTTAAATGTCTTATAATTAATCTGAAGGAAACATTATAAAATAGAGATTTGCAAACTAACTTTTATTTTGCACCTAATTATAAAAGAGAATGATTTTATTAAAAAAATTATATTATTAATTTTTGATTAACACACAAGGAAATTATTGTAACACACTGTTGGAAATTTCCCGGAAAAAATGATTAAGTAACAACTTATTTAATTGTTATTTAACCATATTCAAACGAAATAGTCAATTTTGTTAGTCAATTTTTTTATAGTCAATTTTTTTTAATATAAAAGTTACTCATTGAGATACAATATATGAATTTATGTTTAAATGAATAAATTCCTTTTATCAATGGTTCTTTTGTATAGGTTCAATGAATGGATCTAAAAGATTCAATAATTGAACAATTTGCATGTTATTACGATTTCAGAAAAAACGATGACACTTAAGTTTGTCGTATGATGTAAAATTGTAGCTAGAATTTATACGATTGTCTTTACTTCGTATAAATTCTAATAAGATTTCATTGTAAAACTATTTAATGAGTGAAATAAAATGCTTCACCGTTAAAATAGAAGCTTCAATCATTTGTAAAAAAGGCAATTTATTTTCTCTCGAAGTTATTAATCTGTTTCCCATCCACAAAAAAATTTATTTCACTTTCTTCATTATTTTTCTAATGACATGATTGTAAGATTTCAGTGAAGAAAAGATTTAGATTATCGCTTTCTAATCATACTTTAATAATTTTAACGTTATTCTGTCCTTAATTTAATTTTTAAGATATTACTTTGCAAAAATTCTCAGATCAAAGTACTGTAAAAAGTCAGCACTCAGGGTACCGGAACTTTTTACCGAAAATCCATTTTTACTGGAACATGTTACGGAAGAAAAATTTAACATAATTTAATTTTTATAGAACTAACTGTAAAAATTAGGGTATAATATTTTGCAGTAAAACAGATGATGCTCCCCAAAAGCAAGTACTTTATGCAGTAATTTGATCCGGAATTTTTTACAGTGTAGTTTAAGCGTGTAACTTTTATTCAGGTAACTTTTCTTTTAAGGAAATATTATTACCCTTCATATGACTTAGTTTGCAATTCTAAAGAATCAAGTTAGCAAAAAGAAATATGTAAAAGCTTTAAATATCTTTTACTAAAAATCCTTTTTTGAATTTCAAGGCAAAATGACATATTCATGTGCAATGTTTCATTTCTAAACATCAAGCGTTCACAAAATCAAACAGAAAAAAAAACCCAGTTAATTGGGGCGTTTTCTTCCCCCACTTATTAGAAAATATTTCTGCAAGTTTCACATTCCAATTAAAACTTTCCGAGATACGCTCTGCCGTTTTGTTAATTGCGTGCATTTTTTACTACACAATTCAGAGTACTGAGAAAATCCTTTCAATTAAATCCGTAGCTGAAATTATGACCCAACGCCTGGAGGAACCCTCGTTTAACAACTTTTCTCTAATAGCTGGGGGAGAGCGAATGCAAGAACACTTTCAGCATTCGTAAGTTAGGCCTCTATTAGTTACCGTCCTTTTAATTTTTTCGTTTTCTTCTCACGTCTTTGAAGAGGAAAAAGGCATTCCGGAAGAAGCGAGAACATTTCACGCACTCCTACCTTCCTCCCCATTCGAAACACGTATCCTGGAAAAGTTTTCTTATTATCCCGAAAGAGTAATCGATGCAGAAAATGCATTACACCCGCCGTACTCACCCGATTTCTCTCCCCCTTCCATTTTACTTGTCCAGCGACGCTCGGCTGCTTCTCATCAAGGCTTTTGCCGGATTATAACTTCGGACGCCCCCACCTCTCTCGCTCCTGTGCCTTTTCCAATAAAATACCGGTATCGACTTTTGGGATCGGGCATTCATAAACGGGGTAAAATTCCGGGATCGATAACACCCACCAGCTGCAAATTTAGGAAAGATAGGGTGAGGGGAAGATGAAATTGCTTCTGGGGATGGAGAAGGAAGCAGACGAGTTTAAAAGAGTGTGTGAACTCTTAAAGAGTTCTATCTTTGTTTGGGGATTGGAACATTTTGCGGATTCTCATCACGATCTTTATTCATTGCTTCACGGGAGCCAATCATTTCGCTGGAACTTGATACGTCTCTGAAAAAACTTTCTTTCCATATTTCGTGAAAATATAGGAGCTTGCAATGAATAAAGATGATGATAAAACTTTAAAAAAATTATAATATTAAAAAAAAAATCCTGGAACATGCATATATTTGATAAACTTCACTAAAAAAAATTTTAAGAAAAAAAGAAAAAAGTTATGCATTTTCTACTAAATTTTATTTATAAAATAGCTGGATTCTTAGATTTCATTTAATCAGTGCTGAGAAACTAGAAGTTCAAAACTTATCTATCAATAATATAGTTTTACTTCATTGAAATATGCTTCTCGAATTAATTATTTGTAGATTATTAATATAAAAACGAAAGCACTATATTTTATCTTTAACATTATAGACTATATACACTATAATGTTCAAAAACTGGAAATTCAAAAGCTATATTTCATAGAATATAGTGTTACTTTATTTAAACATTTATCCCAAATTTTAAAAAAATAAAAATAATAAATGAATTAATTAATAAATAAATATAAATACATTTCGATGTTTAGATACTGGAAATGTAAAATCCTTTTTCATAAAGTATAATTTTACTTCATTGAAACATACATTGAATAAGATATGTTTTCGGAAAAAAGTAAGAAAAAAGCATTAACTTTAAATCACAAAAAATTTATAAGTAATATTTTTTACAAAAAAATTTAGTTCGGCAAAATATGTTTCACTTGTCAAATATGTTCTGTAAGTTATGAAGAGCAAGAAATAAAAAATTCATACATTTAAATTGTTTATATAAAATTTCTTTCTTACACTATACCTATATGAAAATATTTTACCCTATATGCAAAAGAAATAGGTAATTAATCTAGTCATAATAATTTTTTTTTCAAAAATATTTAAAATGTAGAAAGCACTATAACTCTTTCTAAAGAAGAAACATTGTATTGTTCCAAATTATTTAACATTTATGTAATTATATTAAAAATTATTTCGTATTTTTTATTTAGAATGAAAAACTCTTCAAAAAAAAAATTTTTTTTTTTTGTACATTTGTGCCTAACTAGCATTTTATGCAACCATAAGATTTGAAGGATGAATTAACATGAAATTAAAATAAAATATTTCGAATCCACTGTTTTTCGAGATTTTTTAGGATTTTCTTTCATGTCTGTATTGTGAAAATAATTTCATTATTGTGAAAGAATAAATTATTGGGATCAAAAGAAAACATTCCAATTAAAGTAAATAAGATTCCAGCAATTAAGTTTATGTAAAATCGGAGAATCTCTAAAATTTTATAAATAAATGCGTTTTATTTAATTTAACACGTGTTAAGTTGAAAACTTACTCTCAAGTATTAGTACAGTTTAAGTAAATATCTTGAAAAATATTTCGATGAAATTTATGTTTTTTTGAAATTTTCTTTATGATTTTTATAAATGAAACGACACTCAATGGTGAAGTTGCTTTTAAATTATATATAATTACGTTCTGATGAAGACTTATTGTTTCTTGCGTTGTTTTCGCTTGTTTATGATTGCGTTTCTTCATTTTCAAATTAAAATTAAAATGTTTAATTGAAATTGCATTATTTTATTTTTAGTGGACCAGAATAGGCTAAAGAGGCAGGAAATTAGAAGCTAATCAAGACAGTTTAATAAATCTATAGACTGAACAGAAAAATATGAACCACTGGAGATTAAGTATTTTATACTTTTTTTTAAAAAAAAATTATTAATTTCAGCAAAATTACCGATTTTCTGGCATGCAAAATTAGATTAAGAAAAGATTTCTTCATCGTTTTTTATCCATCATTTTTCCTTGAAATTTAAGTAATTTTTCATGATTAATTTGTTTTGTTCATATGGCTAAAGTTGAATTAAACATTTGTAAAATTTGAGGTCACCTTATAATCTTACTTGCATCAAGGGAAATTTTAGTTACTTTTGATTAAAAATCTTTATTTCAATGAAGGTTTTCAATATATTTTAATTCAGATTTAAGGTTTAGTGCCGAATTAATTTTATTTTTAGTGCTTAAAAACTGATGTCAAATAAAAGCAAAAGTCAATTTCAAGAGAGAAGGAAGACCCTACCACTACAATGCGAATACATTTATACTAGATAAGTACCATTTAAGTATTGCTGAAAATAATTCTTATGCTGTTAAAATGTTATTTATCGTTTTACACTTCCATTTACCATTATAAAAGTAACATTTTATAATTTCAGATTATTTTAAAATGGCTTGATTTATTAATTAGTAAACAGCAACTTAGATTAATTTTACAAATCAATTAAATATTATTGTAAACAAAACTAACAATTGGGATTTGGGGTAAATCTTAAAATTTCTCTTGTTCAGATCAGAGTCCGTAAAATTTTAAAAAGTTTGTGCAGATAATTTTTTGTAACGCAGAATTTAAATTAGCTAACAGATTTAGTTTGAACGATATAATGGCACAAGGAAAATTACTATTAATGCAATAATATTGTTAAGTATAGTTAACAATAGTATTGTATTAATACTTTTCAAAAATATCAATAGTTACTTTTAATATTTGGGGTAAATATTAATAGTTGTGGAAACTAAATTAACCTCAATGTGTAAGATTGGCTGTTTGAGTTACAAAATCAGTATTAATTTTCTTGGTCTTATTTTTAATTTAATACTGAGAAAAAATTATTCTTGAAGCAAATTTAAGAAATTTTAAATTTGCATTTTTTGTAGTATTTTCTTAAAAATTAAAATTGCATTACAATAGAATGCATAATTTACGGACGATAATTCAATCGAATTTTATTTCCTAATTTTTCAATAATTATGGAATAAGTCAAAATTATGAATAACGCTGATTTAACAAATTTTATTTTATTTACTGGTATTTAAGATATGAGAGAAAAATGTGTAATTGTGTAAGAATATTTTAAACATAAAAAAATGCTTATCATGTAACGAAGTTCTTGGTTAAACATTTTTAGAATTTTTACTTTAACTTCGCTGTCGTTTTTCAAATTACTAAAGTTGCAACTAGTTATAAGAAAAGTAAGAGAAAATATTGTGTTTCAGCGTTGAAATATTTGGGGTTTTATAAATTAAGAAATATTTAAGTTACAAATAAATGTTACACAAATTACTTAATATGACTAGAGCCGATTCGAAAATAAAACATAAAAAAACAAATGCTATGCTTGAATTAAGTTATTTACTGGCAACACCTCAATTTGAAATGAAAAAACAACATTTTTTTTTAGTTAATCAACACGTTCAATAATCCATAGCATTATTATTGCGCAATTTGCGCAATTCAAAGTGGCGAAAAAAATGTCTACCATCACTTATAAATGGTAAGGCGAACACAAAATCCCGTCAAGAAAAACGTTTTATGAGTTATCCGAGTTTAACTAGTTTATTGACTTTGAAAAAACTTGACAGTTATCCTGAATAATGAAGTGAATCTCTTGAAGGAGATTCGTTGGCGAGAATTATAACCGAAAATAAGCTTCAAGCAAATTGTCACTTTCGCGTTTCGCAAACAAGCCGGCATATCAAGCATAAAAATGTTGTTAAGCTTTTTGTTAATCCGAAAACAAGCAGGAAACAAAGGTGCCAGCACGAATATCCCGCCAGAAAGTAAAAAAATTAAACTGAGAAGGAAGGAAAGAAAGATTTTGATATTTTTTATTTGATAAAAGATTATTATCCTTGCGTAAAAGAGTGATATTCTTTGTTACAAAAATATTTTGGTTGCAAAATTTTGTTCGCTAAATTTTTCATTACAAAAATTGTACTAAGATATTATAATTATTGTTATAAAATACTTATGACAAAAATATTTGCACAGTTTATTATTTTCAATTTATTTATTTGCAAATTTAATTTGTTCTGCTTGGTGAAGTTAAAGGAACTTCAAATTAAACCTTTTGCAAATTAATCAAGTTTCAACTTAAATTCTAAATATGAAAAGTTTATTATTTAATTCGCTAATATGGTTAAATTTATTTACAAGAGGTTTAATTTAATTAGTTTTATTTGATTTGCTAGAAAATTAATCTGATTCTTAATAGATATTTGATTTACTAAAAATTTAAAATAATTCCTGAAAAGATTAATGTGACTAATATGTAATTTAAATTGTTGAAAGGCAAAATTACTTCGCAAAAGATTTAATTTGATTTGATAGGAAATAATATTGATTCTCAATTTTAAATTTAACTTGATACGTTAAGTTTGTGATAGAGATTCACAAAACTCTTATTTTGATTCTCTAAAAGTTTAAATTAAATCTCAGTAGGTCAAATCTAATTAAAAAATATAAATTAGGTTTGAAAAAAATTCTTTTTTAATGTGAGGAACTTTTTAAGTAGTAATTAAAATTTCATGCTTTTTCCCAAAAGTTTCCCAAATTTAATGTAATTTCAAGTTGTTCCAGTCAAGATACATTTTTTATGCAAAAAAATTACTATCCTAAATGGACAATTTTTCGAGACTAGCTCATCAAATGCAATAACATAATTTGTAATTTATTTATAGAATAAAATTTTCTCGATACATTTACTGGGTTTAAAAATCTTTATATACTTTGTTAATAGACTATATAAAAAGTTTAATGCACATAATAATTATTGACTGTATGACTTTGAACTCCAGCAAAAAAGTAATATCCCTCACATTTTCCTATTTATATTCTGTTGAGCATGTAAGCTGGAATAGTCTTATTCCCTATTTTTATTGTGCCACATTTGAACAGAAATTAAGTGAGTTGTTTTAGGATATATATATATTCTTTAATGTAGCTTGATTTGTTACACCCTTCTCCTCAGAATTGATTCATATTACTGTGCAATCAAGTCAAATATGGATCCATTTGGAAAATATTAAGGTTTAACTTGGAGCCCTATTACTCCTGCAGAGAAAGCAATATTATGGTAGAACACAAAACAAAATTTTTGAAATATATTGTATATTACAGAATAATAATATTATTATGCTAACATGCACATAAACATATTTTACTTAAAGACTGGCATACTTATTTTACGAAACACTAGGATGAGCAATTTGAGGTAATAGAGAGATTCTCGTCACATTCCGTACGCTCATATACTTATGTTTTTTGCAAGCTCTGTAGAAAACCGAGACTGTTTTAAAGTATGCAGAGTTTATGTTCATGAACGTGTGCTGCGCGAAATAAAACTGCTAATTCTTTAAAATAGAAAGATTTATGGTTCTAAGATGGTACTTTTTGCAATTTTATATGCAATACTCATACTCGATTTTCCAATCCATCATCGTNTATTATGGTAGAACATAAAACAAAATTCTGAAATATATTGTTATATGCTGAATAATAATATTATTATACTAACATGCACATAAACATATTTTACTTAATGACTGGAATATTTATTTTACGAAACACTAGGATGAGCAATTTGAGGCAATCGAGAGATTCACGTCACATTCCGTACGCTCATATACTTATGTTTTTTGCAAGCTCTGTAGAAAACCGAGACTGTTTTAAAGTATGCAGAGTTTATGTTCATGAACGTGTGCTATGCGCAATAAAACTGCTAATTCTTTAGAATAGAAAGATTTATGGTTCTAAGATGGTACTTTTTGTAATTTCATATGCAATATTCGTACTCGATTTTCCAATCAATCATCGTTTCAAAATCCGCTTTCTTATTTGGCGGTTTACCTTTTGGTTGTAGTTTTGTCACTTTTTGCTGTTATCGCTTTTTCTGGTAAACGACTCGTCTGGAGTAGCCTTGATAAGAATTTTAAAATAGCAACCTACATGCTTTCCCTTCCTTTTCGCGATTTCAATAATTTGTTTTGGAATAGTACTCAATTGTATATTGATAACTTTTCAAACAATGTAATTTACGGATTGTATCTTTCTAAAACTATAAAAATTAAGTTACACACATGTGATAATAAAAACTTTGTTACACTTTTTGATTAGTTATATATATATATATTCCTCTCAAGTGTAAGAAGGTATTAGTACTTTTTCCTTGGTCTTAATCCTTTTTCAACAAAATTAAAATAAAAAATAATTGCTGTAAAAATGTATAGATTTGGTTGGATATTCGTAGTGATGGCTAAATAAAAATACTATCCCCTAAATAAATTCCTGTTTTACACTAAGTACTTTAATTTTTTTTTTAAAGTAACAACATTTCTAAATAAGAATATTTTTTTTATAAATTTTAAATAAGAATAATAAGGTAAGTTTTTGACAAATGAGACAAAGATATTGACAAGCTATTTGAAAAACTATTATAAAAGCTTGCAAAAAATACTAGGTGTACACAAAAATTCAGAATACTTAATGATTTAACAAATGCATAAATTTTTCATAAATCGAGTCTAATATAATTATATCCTTTCTCTCACGATGTTGCAAATAGTAATTTACTTGACTAAATAATTTTCACTATGATTTAAGATGTATATTTTAATTTAAATTAATCAACCAGTAATTTAATTAGATTTATACTTTTCAAAATAATTGTTCAAAATTGATAATTATACTTCTAAATTAAAAATTTCTAGCATTAAATCGAATTTTGTAAAAAAGTTTTGAAAAAAAAAAAATATTATTAACAATAAAGTACATGTTTCGAACAACAAGAGTTTTGAGAGCATACGACAATATCAACTGATAATTTCTATGACCGATATCTTATTAGTTAATCTCTATTTCTTAAAATTATTACGATATCTTTAGCTCATTAAATCACACATAAAATTAGATTTTCCATGTTGCAATCAAGGAATCACTCATGGAACATGAACTCTCTAACCAAAATATTTTATTCTTGGAAATTAATAAACAAAAAAATAACTATATAGTGTTCTATTACAAGCAAATGCAAAACTCAATTGAATGAAACATTTAAAGCTTGATTTGATGTGTAATTTTATTTGTATAAGTTCATCATATTCATACTGTATTGATGAAAGTTAAATATTTCTTAGCGAACGTTTCGTTTCTATTTTACAATTTAATAAAAACTCCTCTTATAAAATTGCTCTGTTATTTAATTTTTTAAAATTTTCCTTTAAGACAAAGTGACCTTTTCCGTTATTATGATACTAAAAAAATTATAAGGTGATCTCAGCATATTTATGTAAATCGAATATTCCACCATAAAAAAAATCTGGCAATTAAAAAAACCATGATTTTTGTAATTTTCAATATAATCTCTTTAAACTTATGGTTTAGATGTAAGAACGAGCTCATTTTCTCTTTCATAATTTTTAGTAAAATATTAATTAGTTCTTGACTTTTTTCAATTTTAAACCAATATGAATGCATAGAATACTATAACAAAGATATTATATGACAAAACTGATAAGAGCTAAACATTTCCTTGTATTTATAGTTCAGCTTTTTAATCGAAGTAGAAAATTGTTAATATCGATTATGCTTCATTAATTAGTAACCTATTTTTCAGGAACATTTTAATTTTCAGAACTTAATTAATTAATCAGTTCTACATATTTTAAATTCCTGAATAAATTTTATAATTGTGCTCTACAAAAAATCCCAGGTTTTTATGTAGTTATTTAAAAGAACCTTGATATTATTATTGTACCATCGAATATGAAAAAAAATACTAAAAATAATTGAAAGGGGGAAAAAGTATTGATTTAGAACATGCAACTAACAATAATAAATGAAAAATCAAGAATTTTTTCACTTTCGTTTTGAAGAAAAATACAAAGCAAAATGTTTCTCTTCTAAGAAAAAAAAATTCTACCCTTTACCATTCCTTGCAGCAGCGAAGACAAGAATCACACCCACTCTTTGAAAAAAACAAGAGAGCAGGTCCTAAAACAATGATGGTTTGGAAAATCGCTATCCGCAAGATTTCGTGTATACGCATTGAACTAAATATGCATATCAGTGACACAGAATCATTAAATTAAGCCTGCTCAATTACTTCAACACAAGCGTATGTCATACGATTACCTTTAGGATAATAAGTGAGTGTGAAAAATCTCTTTAACTATTTTTCGTTGTTTGTCTAATAACTTTTAATTATTGTAAATTATTATTAATTGTATCATTGGTACATTGATGAAATGCTGCTTAAAATCTTCTAAGTAATTACTTTTCGTAGAATACTCAGTAACTTTAATATTATTGTTGCTTAATAATCGCCCGATTTTTACAGTATGAATTGAAATCTCATTAACAATTGCATTGTATGGCACTCAATAACTTTATTACTTACTTTACTTATTTACTCGTTCTTTATTACTCAGTATCTTTATTATGTATTGTTAGTTCAGTGTAACTTAAAAAATGTCTGAAAATTTTAAACAAAACTAAACTGGCTTTTTAAATCGAAATTGTTAAAAATTGTAAAATCAATTTATCAGATTTATGATTGGTTATACACAAAAACCTATAAGTGATAATGCGTCTCAAAAAAGATAATTTCAGTGTGATTTAGTAAAACTACATTCTATATCTGTACAATCCAAATTCTTTTCTATCGATCGCCGAAATGCATTCTTTCTCGTGGACTCTTTCCAGTACTTTCTTTCTTTCCTTCTTTTTCATTCGAAAATGCGCGACATCTCGACTGAGCATCCAGGTCAAAATCGTTTTTCGGTCTCTCTTGTAATAGCAATGTAGAGGAATATCGTTCTTTTCTGACTTCCCCAACACACTCACTATCCCCCCCCTTCTAATCTAGAGCTGCCCACCCCCCGACAAAACAGAATTCCCTATCTCTTGAAGTTGAAAGAAATTCTTCTGTATTCCCTGTTTCAGTAGGGAATCAGGGAGAAATAGATAAGGTAAGGAAACATGATGCTGAAATTGAAGGAGGAAGGGAAAAAAAGATGAGCACCTTTTTTTTTTTGGTACCTATTAGGGAGGGAGGAGCAGTCTTTTGTCAGTTTTAGAGATATTTCCCGTTTATTTATCACCAGTGGGGTATTCCATTGGATAAACAGTGATAAGCAAAATAATTTAGATGGTGTTTCGAGAAAAATTCGGTGCATTTCTTGTTATCACCTTAAAAACACCAAAAAACACAAAGAGAAGAAAAAAATGCACCTAGTCATAAAATATTTATGAATTATAGTGGTTGTTCCACGATGTCACTTACTAAACGACTTGCATATTAAAAATACATAAAATAACAAAGAATAATTCATTTTCAAAGGAGAAAGTAAAAAGATTTGAATTATTCAAAATTTGAAACAATTGAAATAGGATTTGGTTTTAAAAAAAATTACAAAAAATATTTGTGGGCCTAGTAGTTATCGACTATGTCAACCTTCATCTATGAAAAGGTACCCCGACATAGAGTCGATTTAACATGTCTAATATAATAGTGAATTGTAGTTGTAATTTCGTAGTGGTAGATACGCTACATATTATAACACATAACTGAGTACAAGATTTCACTTATAATACTCATAATAAGTAATTTATCACAAAAGGCGCTTGATTTTATGAGAATGCGCAAATTGGATGGCATTAACAAATAAATAAACATTCTGCATAATTTCCAGCGTGTGTAAAATAATATCAAAATGAATTATTTTGTCTTAATGATCGGATATTTGCGCACTAAGTGCCATTCTTAATTGCTTAAAGGATAGTCTACAAATATACTAATTATTTAGTATTTACGATTAATTTTAGTACTAATTATAATTATTTAGTGCTACATTACAAAACTAGGATCAAAAAATTTTTTTTCTCTTCTTTAACGTACTTTATTTTTCCGACAAATATCATTAAAATTTTAGGTTTTGGCATTTAAATTTAAATAGTTAAAAACGATATAAAAATATGCTCACTCAAAACAATTCCAACAATTAAACTTTTTTTTTTGACCGTTATGAAAAGAAGTAATATTCATTATAAATTATTTTTTGTTTTAAATTATCTTTGGAAAAATGCATGCAAAAAGTTTTCGATCTGTTTGAAAACTTTCCAAAATATGGCGAAATACACAAAAAAGTAAAATGAACATTAAGGGGTTCAAACTTTCGTCCGCTCTCCTGCTAAGTTATTGGAGCCATATTGTGGCAACTCTTCTTATTTTGAGAATCAAAAATCCAAATCTGTCGAAAAAAAAAGCACGTTTATTCTGCAAACCTACGTTTTTGGGTCTAATTTTATTACTTAATAAATAATTAGAATTTTTAGGATTGATAATTCGAGCTGTGCACTTCTGTGAAAATCTATCAGAAAAGAATTACTCAGTGTCTTGTTTTTTTCTTCTTTTTTCCTTTACTCTCTTAGTGCACACATAATTTTGAACCATGCAAAATAACTTTGAGATAATCTTTTGCTCATTTTCGCTTAATTTTACGTGACTAGTTATTTGACATCAACAAAAACACAAAATAAGAAAAGTTAAACGTTTGTTTCAACAAACCTTCTAAGATCTTAAATAGTGCTTTAAGGTTATTTGTTTTTCGTGATCACGTTGACTTCTTGGAACATTTTCATTATATTTACACAAACCTTACTCTCAACGTAGCCATAAGGATCAGAATTCAAAAAATTGCTGGAAAAATTTGCAAGATTGGTATGAATAAAAAATCCTAGGGAATATAATGTCGATTCGAATTGTGTATATTCTAATTGAAGAGATTTCTCTGTTTGAAATATTCATAAAAAGTTTAAATCAGATTAAAGAATGCACACGATTCTCTTAAAACTACTGCATACAACGTATATTAAAAATATGTATAATATGCATATGTGTATTCCAAATGTGTATGACTGTCTACTAATGTGTAATTTATGCGAGTAGAATCATGTCCAACAACTTTTTTTTTTAATTTCTAATTTTGTTTCCTAAATAATATTTTTTAATGAAACAAATCATATCGGAGAAATTTTTTTTGTGCTGCAAAATAAATTTCTTAAGCCTTCCAAAATTGAAAGTTAATTTTGATGTATACATTTCTTATAGTTAACATGATTGAATTAATTCTCAATATTTTAACAATAATGAAAAAAAAGTCTTAAATTACATGTTTAATACTTTAAGTTATTTAAATGGGTTATTTTTTTTTTTATATTACAGAGAGATATTCAACTGCGATGTTTTCTAGAGAATGCATACACAAGGTACAGAGAAATTGATACTTTTTTTAAATTCATTATGCAATTTATTTATTTACTTTTTTTTTCCGCCAAATTATTATTTTTTTTTCACTAATGACTACAATATTGATTTTCCTTTTATTTTATGAGTAATTATTTATTCTTGGTATTAAGTTCTCTATTAACAATTACTATCATTCAGATAAATCAATTTCTTTTTGTAATATAATCTTGAGAATGTATTTTCAAAATATCGCAGATCAATTAGCAAATGCAACAGATTCAGGTTAAGAACCACTAATTTATTTAATTCATTTTAATGATATTTGTTGTGAAAGTAAGATTTAAAATTTAGTAAGTTTAGTAATTTTTGTAAATTTATGGGACTTATGTTCGGATCGGATCTTACGATTAATTTCTATGATCGGGTCTTATTATTATGGGTTTCATGTTTAACTCTTGGAGTAAAGCTGCATAAGCTTTGAAACAAGCAGCATCATATAAGGTCTTTCAGTGACTCCATTGCAAAAAACCCACATTTTTAGTGATATTAAAAGCATATTTAAGAATATTTAATTTTTTTATCTATTTTTATTTCTATTTTCTATCTATTCATATTCATTTTTCTACATATAATAACAAAAATATTAGCAATTAAAGCCATTTAATAATATGTATACTCATATAAGACTTTTATCAATACAAAAACAGGCAATTCATTATTGTTGAAACAAAACATTTAAAATATTAAATAATGGTTATAACACATTGGGATTAAAAAGGAAAATTCAAATAATGTAATTTTATTTATTGCACGAGATATTAGGTTTGTTGTAATGCATTATTATTATTTTCACCGTTTGTGACCTTGAAAAGTTATTATTATTATTTTTTTTAATAATCGTATAATTGGTACAACGTGACAATAAAAATAAACTTTATGATCAATTTTAGAATTTTTTAAACATGATTTCTGCAAACAAATTGATTATTTTTATTTCCTTTCGTAGAATGTATTTTATTGAGTTTTTTGAAACACATACAGCATCGGCTGAGCAGATGTGATTTTTTATCTTTTTATTTATTGAATTTTTTTTTCGTGGGGAAGGCGGTAATTTCAAAACTTCTAAAATCATCGTATTTTTTAATAAAAATGTTTAACAAAATATTCCTTTTTGTTAATTTTTATTAAATAAATTTATTATTCAAAAAACTTCAAGTGGGTATTCATTAGTTCGAAACGTATTCAACAAAATTATTAATTTATCTTTAACAGCAAAACATTTTTTTAATATTAAATATTTATTCTTAATTCTATCATTTATTCTAATCATATTCAGCAAAGCTATTCCTTTATTCCAAAAGAACAGTTATTCATTCCTTCTAATTTTAAATATTTTAGTGATAGGGACGCAGTGGTTATTTTTTGATTCCACTTAATTATCTGAAAATAAAAATAGACTATTTTAATTCAGCTAAGCAAAATAATTTTAAAAATAAGAAAAGGTTTTTTCTTTCTTCGAAACATTGACGTCTGAAACCATTTAATTAAAATTCAACACAAAACAACAACAGCCATTCTTCCAATTGAAAGAAAATATTCTTTCATATTAAGAACAGAAATTTTAATAAAAAAAAGGCTGCTCTGACCTTAATTAACAGATTTGATTCTACGTTTTGTTAACTATGTGACATATCTCTGCTGTTATTAACTTGATTTTCTCATGTAATCCGAAAAACAACAGTGCAAAAAAAAATTTATGCATTTTTATTGAGGATATGTCTATTTTTTTTTTCATAATAGAAGTGATAACTCCAAAACTCTCAATTAAATAGTGTGAAAAATATCCAACTTTAATATGCGAAAAAAATCTGGAAAGCATATCCAAAAGAAACTGGTTATATATCCTACAAAAATGGCACTCAGGTCATTTTGTTGCTCCGCGAAATGAAAATTTATAAAAATAACTGCTTTATTTAACATTATTTAAAGGCATTCTAAAAATAAACTTTATAAAACACTTATATTATTAATAACAATGTCTTATCTTTTTCTGTCTTCCATGTGATTGAAGATCGATATTATTAAATTAAAACTCTTAAAGGAAGATTTGAGTGAAGACAAACGTCTTCTAATCGATGTAACGACAATCGATCTTCTAAGATTTACTGATATCAAGAAGTATTGTACACGGAGACAAAAAATTCCCGTAACATTACCGTACTTTATAACAATAACGTTTCTGGTAAAAAAAAATATTTAAAAAAAAGAAACAAATTTTGATAATGGAAAACAAAATTCGAGCATTTAAATCATTCATTTGGTAATTTTACCATTCATATGTCAACGGGTGACTGGAATTCCGATTTTACTAATTATAATTCTTATTACCGCACAGTTAGAAATAATTTTAAAAAAAACTGAACAATAAATTTTACCGAATAAATGGATTTTATGCCATATATAAAGTATCATAATAAAATTTCTAAATTTTACCACATTTAACAAATTTTATCACACATTATAAAACCATATTTTACTGTTACCAAATCCAAAATAACAAAATTCAAATACAATACCAAAATCATTACCATAGCGCTTCGTTAAAAATTACTGAACTTTTTGGTGTTCCCATAGCGTCAGACCAAATATTACCATATTCTGTTAGTTTTGGTCATACTTTTTTTTCTCAGTAAATAAGTCTATGTAAGTTTTCGTGTAATTATTTTTGTAATAAGAAATAAAAATTTCAAAATTTGTAAAAATAAAAATAATAAGATATAAATAAATAAATGGTTCAAAACTCAGATTCAAAAATTTTAAAAGTATTGCAACTTTTTTTCCATTAGTCAATATTCAACAAAAAATGGTATTGTAGTTATTTTTCTACCCTACTAGATTATCCGAAATTAAAAATAAAGGTTTTATTAACTCTTCAGATTGCACCCTAAAATTAAACTTGAGAAAATACCTCTATAATAAATAACAATTTTTTTCTTTCTTCTAAATAGGGACGACTTCCACGTGGATTGAAGATTGATATCATTAAATTAAAACTCACTAATGAAGATTTAATTGAAGACAAGACAAAAGACAAACAACGGTCGGTCTTCTAATTGAAAGAAAATACTCGCATCAGGAAGTATCATTAATTAACATTTAGCTGAAATTTATGTTCTCTTTTTGTTCTTCGACGTGGGGCGCCATCTAAGATGGAATGTTCAGCGTCCTTTTTTTAGAATTGCGCGTGGGTTTTTGCTACAATTCTTTCATTATATGTTGCTACAAGAAGACAAAAGACCAAGGACATTGAATTCAAATATATTTGACAGATCAACAGTGTAGCGAGGCTTTTAATAACTACATTATATTCTTTAAACGATCAGTGATTAATTTACGTTCTCTTGAACTGTATACTTGAGAGAGATGAGGAACATAATTAAATGATTTATTTGCATGAAGAGATTTTTCTTTGCAAAGGTTTTGTTTTTAATTTGAATTTATGAGGAAGTGTTACGAATGCTGTCGACGTGATGTTAAGAAAGTAACATTTGAAATAACTTATGCTGTAATAATGTAATCGTTCTGCCTTGAGATTGTGTAAGATTTTATTCTCAAACGAATTTATTATTTTTTCTTACATAGGGGCATTCTATAAAGAAATGTTTACCAATAAAGCAAAAGTTACATAATTTATCATTTTTATAGGTGAAGAACAGTAAGCATGAATTTAACTATTTTTTAATTGAGAATTTTCAACGTTGCAATTTTTAAAAAGACTGCACAAAATTTGCAGACACAAAGCAGCAAAATTAAAATTTCTATCAATGAAAAAATATCACAATTATTTTATAATTTTTGCTTAATATCTTTTTTATTTGTATACATTTATTTTCTGTTTTTTTTTTTTTAAATCGGATATAGATTTTTATGTTAGGTAAAAAAAAATTTTACTTTTTTGCAGTTCTCAGTTCTTGCTTTTAAAGATAAATTAAATCATTAGTAGAATGGATATATTTATTTAATCAAGAAAATGAGAAAAAATGAATAACAAAACAGATTAATAACATTATTTACGTAACAGATTCGCATAAAAACAAAAGATATTTTTAGTTTTTTTATAGTTCTTATATTTCAGAATAAGAAAGTTTAATCAAAATAAATAAATCTTTTCAAAAAAAAAAAAAATATTTACGTATTCCTTGAAAAAACATTTAACTTCTTAATTAGCATCTTTTTTATAAATAAATTTGTAACTTATCTTGTTTATATATAGATTTTTAAATCACTCACCTCGAATAGAAATTTTAATTGTGCGTGTTCTTTTTAATGTTAAAGATAAATTCCACTTTTATAAATATATAAGTTTTAGGAACAAATAGAATCAAAACATCTCTATAACCCCCAAATCATTACTCTTATAATGAANTTTTTTTTTTTTTTTTTTTTTTTTTTTTTTTTTTTTTTTTTTTTTTTTTAAATCGGATATAGATTTTTATGTTAGGTAAAAAAAAATTTCACTTTTTTTGCAGTTCTCAGTTCTTGCTTTTAAAGATAAATTTAATCATTAGTAGAATGGATATATTTATTTAATCAAGAAAATGAGAAAAAATGAATAACAAAACAGATTAATAACATTATTTACGTAACAATAACATTATTTACGTAACAGATTCGCATAAAGACAAAAGATATTTTTAGTTTTTTTATAGTTCTTATATTTCAGAATAAGAAAGTTTAATCAAAATAAATAAATCTTTTCAAAAAAAAATATTTACGTATTCCTTGAAAAAACATTTAACTTCTTAATTAGCATCTTTTTTATAAATAAATTTGTAACTTATCTTGTTTATATATAGATTTTTAAATCACTCACCTCGAATAGAAATTTTAATTGTGCGTGTTCTTTTTAATGTTAAAGATAAATTCCACTTTTATAAATATATAAGTTTTAGGAACAAATAGAATCAAAACATCTCTATAACCCCCAAATCATTACTCTTATAATGAAACAAAATATTTGAACTCTAAGTTAGCATCTCATTTATATGTTTGTGACTTTTTTTGTTACCAAATATAAAACTTAAGTGAACTTCTAATGCAATTTTCTGAGAGTAGGTGAATTTATTTTAAATCTATAGATAAATTTGCAACTGGAATAATTATCATTCAACAAATAAAATTAGATATGAAAATTAATAGAAAAAATGGATTTTTTTTTTTACTTTCTTGTAGGTTAGAAATAAAACTTTATCGACACAGGGAAAAGAATTCTGATAAAATTACTATACTTGCATCAAAATGATATATCTGCTAAGAGAAATCACAATTCTGCTCATTAATTCAAAATATAAGGTATTTAAATAATTTATTTGGTAATTTTACCGTTTACTATGATAACCATTCTCGGAAGTTCTGTTTTTCAAAATCAAAGTTCTTATTTCCATTCATTTAGTAACAAATACAAAACTGAAGAGTAAATTTACCCAAATAAATAGTTTTTTGTCATACCTTAAAGTATCATGATAAAAATAATCAAAACTTTCTGTCACTTATTTTAACATTTATTCGGTAATTTTAAACTTTTGACGTCTATGCCTTTTACCAGATAGAATGGTAATAAAGTGTTTATAATATTATGGTTTATTTAAAATGGCGGTTTATTTAAATGGTAGAGAGTTATTATTGGTTAAGAAACGTTAATTATTTCTTATTCTAATACAATTTCCCGTTTTTAACATGGGATAAAGGGACTTGAATAATAGCTTCAATTGGAACCCTCTACCTCACTTTTAAATAACGTTTGGCAGAAAGATGAGACTGCTGCAAAAAATAGTTCTGAAAAAAAACAAAAAACATTACCATTTAAAGAATTTTTAATTTATTTACTGTTTCCCATACATATGCAGGTTTGTGTTCCTCGTACAAAACACCAAGTTGAAGAACAGATTGCTCAAATTAGAGAAGGACAATACAAAGATGCATCTGGTGTAATGTGGAGGTAGCGGGTGTGAATTCCAGTCCCAGGATGTATGTTTGTAGTGTTTTTCTTTATCTTGTGCTATCTGTATTTCAAATTGACAGGGGAAGGTCTAGGTTTGTAAAGAGCAGACAATCCTGAAGATGTGTGAGGAACAATAAGTAAATTGATAGAAATAAATAAGTGCATCCAGGGATACGTTATGATTCGAATTCTTACCTCTACGCTTCTATTTTAGGATGTTGGTACAGATTTGATGGGTAGTAATTTAATATAGCCTTTTCCATTCATTTGTACATTTTCAAATGCAAATTTTTTACAGTTTTAAATGACGGTAGATGTCAGCTTATAGATTCCATAGGGAAAAAAATCTATTTACTGATGAAAAAAAATTAACAAGTGTTTACTAAGTAAAATAGAGGTTATCATACTGAATATTTTTTCGCCACTTAAACTCATACTAGTACTGTTAGAATAATCGACTTTTGATGTGAATTACCAAATTTTATCACATTTATTTCCAAACAACATAATAATAAAAACTCTATATTATTGTTAATTTTACCAAAATATTTCAGTAAAAATTACCGAGCTTTTTGATGCTGTGATAGGGTCAGAAATTCGGTACATTTTACCATATTCTGAGTTCTGACCATACTTCATTTGTCAGTGTAAAAATAGCATCAAAACAACTTTAGTTTTGACCATACTTTACATCTGGTAGTTTTGACCATATGCTATTTCTCAGTGTAAAAATCGCATCAAAACATCTTAATAGCAACACAATCCTTACTTATACTCTGACAAACAAGAATACTTTTAGAAGAAAAAAATAATATTAAGAAGAATAACAATAGTAACTTCTAAATTCGGTAGCATTTCATTTTTTTTTATAAACTTGTATATGGAGTCATAAATTTGTCCTATTTGTATTTGTATTTTAGTAAACAGTTTTTAAAATTATTAAATTACAATTATATAGCCTTTTAAATTTATCTTTAATTCCCTTTTCAAACTGTGCATACAGTTTAATTATAAAGCTAAACTAACCATTGAAAATATGATATCATTATGTAAGAATTATGCAAAAATTAAATACTTTCAGCAGATTTTTTACTTCATAATTAAAATTTTTATCGAAAAATAACATCAAAACATCACAATAATCACACAATCTTTACATATACTCCATTATTTGACTTATTAGTTAGCGTCTTTTGTAACTCTGTCTGTTATCAAATATATAGCTTTTTAAGTATACCTCTAATTCATTTTTTCAATAGTGCTCTCCGATTCTACTTTCAAAGGTAATTTTACAACTTGACAACATTAACTTTTCTTTATATTATCGCTCTGTGGCATTCATATCAAAGTAATTGACGAAGCGACGACTGAATTTAAATTTCTTTTTTGTTTCCTATCTGTAATTGAATCTGTCACCTGCCTTCGGTCTTATTCACCTATTTGATAACGATCGCTTTTTATGGCTAAATATGTTTGTAACATATATTCTTTTCAAACGCGGCCGAGCGGAATATTTTGTACGTGAGGAGAAAAAGTAATTTTCAAAATGATGGTAAATATGTTAAAGATATTAAAGACGCATTTACTACGTACGTTTCCTATACTTTGTATTTTACAAGAAAATAGGTTTCAATTTTGTATCGAAGTGAATTCAAAACAAAATCGTATTTCAGGGGGGAAAATGCTTGCTTACTTAAAAAAAAATATATATATAAAAAATACAAAATTTATAGTTTTAATTTAGGAAGCTGACATATATAAGTTCTATATATAAATGATAATGTAATAAAGATGTAGGCATAGTATGAATAAATGGAACTCTTCATGCAAAAATATTCTTTAAAAGATTGGTATAGCAGAATAATAACCAAAAAAATTTTAACATCCTTAAAAATAAAAACTTGATGGTAACTATGATTTCAAAACTTAATTATGGTAGAAAGTAAATAAATAAATGAAAATGGTAAATAATTCTATGATTCATTACACAAAACAGAGGTAGGTTATGTTCTTAAAATTTAAAATGCATTCATAATTTTAAAAAAAAAAAATTTGGAATAGCAAAAATAGTTCGACCCTTATATGTTTCAAAGATTACAAGGCATTATGAAGTTAAATTAAATTAAAAATATCGCAAAGTGCAACTATTAAGGTAACTGATAAACAGCATTTTCTACCATTTCTGTTACAAAGTATATATTTAGCACTTTATGCGTAAGCTAATTATTAAAAACTGAGCTATATTTGAAATGAAGAAAGCACTGAAATATTTTGAAAAAAAAACTAATTTTATTGACATAATACTCAAAGAGACAAAAATGAAATTTAAAAATAACTTTTATTGCGTCTTTAAAGCATCGAAAGTAATTATTTTAGCATCACTCAATTATATTATAAACTTGCATTAAAAATAATAGAAATTATTTACTTTAGGGTTTTAGTTTTTTAGAAATT